TTCCAAATTCCGAACAATTTTTTCGTTCACTTAAAAACCTTTAGATAACGTTCATACATACGTTATATACTTTTAAGTAGGCACATAATGTATATAATAGCATAAATTTTTTTTAACCTTTTGAGTGCATGTGTGTTCCACTTTTGCCCAGCAATATTTTAAAAATGAGATAAAAAATATATAAACCAACCATAAGAAATCGTTTCTAAATTATTTAGTTAGTTTACTTTCAAATCTTAATATTTCAATAGCAAAAAATTTGAGAATATAAGAACCTGTAAGTGTTTTTATTTGTTTTTATTCCAAAAATGGCCATGTGCAATCAATGTAACTTTTTTTTATTGATAGATTCTATTACTTTTTTTGTTCTTGTTTTAGTTTTATTCTTTATTTCTATTTTCTCTTTTTCGTTTTTTAATTATTTTAAATTTTTTTTTTTTTTTATATAATCAATATCAGTAGCATTTAAAATAAAAATAAGCAAAACCCTCACTGATTCGGAAATCGAAAAAATTATGAATAGGTTCCTAAATGAAGATAATGAGAAGATTCAAACCCAGGAGAGCGTGAAAAGTTAAGTCTGATAATGAAATTATAGCTAAAGATGTTAGCACATCTCTAGAGTCCTGGAAAGTTTTATTTGATAATATCATGATAGAGCTTATAGTAAAGCAATTTTGATTTGTGAAATTGAAAATTTTGATCAGTGAACTTTAAGTGTTTCCAAAAGTTAAAGAAACCTGGTCTATCTGGTAATAGAAAAGCCATGAAATTGAGTGAAAAAAAACGGTGTGGTTTTTGCGTTTGAAAAATAATTTTTCTTCTTTATATTTAAAAAGTAAAAAAAAAGAATTATGATCTTGTTATTTTAGTATTTAGGTGTGTTTTTTATATTTTTTGAGACATGGAAATTTTCAACATACTGAAGTACAGCAGGTACTTTAAAATTTAACAAAAAAATTAACATTTCAAAGAAACAATAAAACAAGTAAAAACGTTTCAGTCGGTGTAAACCGATTGAATTATACCCTGCACCTTTCGTTATTGTGTAGCAATTACTCGAACCTCTGAAATCATTCTATAGAAACTTCACGGACATATCTGACCGACATTGGACATCCGACTGCCAAGTTTCATGAATCTGACCTTATAATTTTTCCAAATATTTAAAATTAGCTTTTGGAGTTGTATGGTAAGTACCTGAACCTGTCAAGCAATTCCACCAAAACTTCAGAATTATATTTGAGCCATAATTGGACACATGACTGCCAAGTTTCATGAATCTGGCTTTATTATTTTGCCGAATATAAAAAATTTGCTGTTGGAGTTGTATGGCAGCTACCCGAACCCGTTGTCCGACTTAGTCCAATAACAATAGGGTTCGTCCTTGGCACAAAAGCAAAAACTTGTGAAAGTTTGGTGTCGATTGCATTATTCGTTTTTGAGTTATCGTGCGATCGGACGGACGGACATGTCTAAATCGACGCAGAATTTTACGCTGAGCAAGAATATATGTATATGTCCATACCGCAGATAACTCCTTCAAGCAGTTACAAACTCCATACCAAAGTTAATATACCCTTCACGAAGTGCAGGGTATAAAAATCCCTATTTTCTAATTACGATTATTTTTTTATAAAAATAACTTTATTTAAAGATTGAAACAGAGATATTAAAAAATAAAAAATTTAACCTCAAAAGGTTAAATATGCTTTGTGTATATTAACATTATCTATATATATATAATGCCAATATACCCAAAGAATATATAGGGGAATATTTTATTAATAGTGGAATATTATTATATTATCGAACTGTTCTCTTTCTAAATCGATTGTCATTGCGAAATAATTTTTGCAAACTTGTAAAGATTACACGCGATAAAAATAACAGAGCAGTTGATGATCAGTTTCCGTATACATACGAATGTACGAATTTGTTATCCTATGTGCGAGAAAATATTCTTATAGTGAATATTTTCTTAGATATGACTAAACATGGCTAAACTACTATTAAAGTTACGGCAGTTATTTCAAGGAGCCAAGAAATTTCAACGATTTTTATCGCGCACTAATAAATTTAAATCGCGCACATTTTAACAGCCCTAATAATACACTTGCTTTCACGAAATTTCTATATTACAGCTTCAATAATTTCTGGGATGATGCCAAATAACTTTTGGAGTAGTATAACAGTTATTAGTCGAACAATGCGAAAAATAAAAATGGTGAAAAAAATTCTTCAACAAATTCGATTCCAACAAACTGTTATTGTAATGTTAGTATAATGTCTTTATAGATATCTAACAAGTTTCAATGCTAAGAGAGAAACTTGAAAGCACGACTTTATTTTTTATATGGGTTTTTTTTAAATCGAAATGGCTATTCTTTGTGAAAAAATAACAAAATAAATTGGAAATACATATATGTACTTGTATAATATAATACTTATTATAAAGCAGGAAGAATGCCCAAGTTGTATTTCAAATGTTAATAAAATATTCTTATTTCAAATTAATACTTTTTTGCTCATATGGTAAGTTAGCTCGCTCAAGGTATGGGAAGTAATTGTAGCGTCAAGTTGATAAAATAATTGAAAGATTATTTATTATAAAATTGATCAATATGTAAAATACAATTATACATTAATTTACAAATATAAATTTTTTATATACATTTCAAAATTTTACCTTCATTTTTATTTCAGAAAAATTTAAAAACTTAAAGCAATTACTTAAGTAAAAAAAATATTGAAAATGTTTTGGAATAACAATCATATATTTTTATGATCGGATTTAAATATTTTTTTTTTTTTAATTTTTGAAATGGATAGTATCTTAGCAATTGACTAAAAAAATCCAAATTTAAAACGACAAACACTTATGTAAATATTTTTTTGTCTATGTAGTATTGTTTGCGTTTAAGATAGGCCATACATGCACAGTGAAGGCCCTTTATAAATAGATTACTCTTGTTTACCTGCTAATAAAATATGAAAGAAAACAGATAAATTTTGCAAGACTAAATATAATATATTTCAACCAGTTTTAAAATAAGTGTTCTCCAACAAATTCGTTCAATTGTATTATATAAGTATAGTCGAAATATTCTATATTATATTATTCTAATTACCTTTATACAACAACCGGCAACAGTCAACTATTTAAAATACTTTATTTAAAAATACAAATGTACATGAAAAAATCGTACATTCCTCCCCATTAATATGTGATACTCTTCTTGAATATGAACAATTTTTCCCTTTTTAGCACTTTTCCAAAAATTTTTTTTGAAAAAAAAGTACTTATTAGTTTCACTCTGTCCGTCCGTTCGTCCGTCCGTCCATCCATGGACAATTTTTTTGTTTACAAAACTTCTACATCCTTGAAGATAGAAAGCTCAAATTTTATATTTTACTAGAAACTACATAGATTTTTACTAGAAACTTACTTCCGTAGAACAAAATTTTTACCTATCTGCTCCCCTCTAGAAGTTATACCCTCCCAAAACCTTATAAATGGCCTTTTTTAACTATTAGTTGCAATGAAACCATAATTATTTTTGAAATTTGGCAAACGCAGAAAGGCAGCGGCTTGCTTTCCCTAGCGCGGTATATTATAGCTAAACTACAGAAAAACAAAATGGCCGTTGAAATTTACCGTTATCTAAAGTCCTTTTTTTCCAAAATTTTTCCGAAACCGCAAGCTTTTTCAAATTTCTATAAACGCAAAAAGCTAACGGTAAATTCCATGACATCAAAAAATATAATTTTTTTTCTTAACTCACACAATTAAATCTTAAAATCGAGCATTATGTTAACCCCTCTTTATATTAACTTTTGCTTTATTTCAAAGACTGCATGTATGTATCATCCTAAATATATGCAATCCTAGAAATAGTTTTGTATATGAATGAAAATAATTTTAAGAGTGTGATAGGTATACATAGACAGTATTTAAAAGAAGAATTTTCACTTGTTGAAGGGAAAAGTGCTACAATACAAACCATTGGTTTGACCCAACTTTATTTATTTTTCTTACTATCTATCTTTATTTTCGCTTAGCGGAATTTAAATCGGAAGCTTTTAAAAAATGTGTATAATATTGTGCGATATTTTCAAACTCTAAACTTTTTTACTTAAAAAAAAGAAAAAAATAAGAAATTCTGTTAAGACATTACTTTTTGCTATTTTATTAACAAAACTTATTTATCTCAAACTTTTTCTTTTTTTTATTATTCGTATGGGTATATAATTCAATTTGTTTGAATTTGTCAAGAAAAAGAATATACACATCAATAAAACTTTTTTTTAATATATCTATTTGGATTTATTTATCGGTTATCGGTTCATAATACCGCGATAAAACGATAATTGTATTATCGCGATAAAACAGGTATGCATCAGATTTTTTCATAATTAGGGCCTATGATAAAAATCCGTGATATCCACCTCACAAAAAGAAAGCATTGCTCATAAATTTGGGTCAGACTTAATATGTCGTTGGCACTTACTTGTTACAGTATTTATGTTTAACAACTTGAAGAAGTGCAAGAATATGCTGACGAAAAAGAATTTTATTTGGACTGAAAGCGGTTGTTTTGCGCAGTCGAAGCATAAAATTAGCCAATGACAGCGTGACATTGATAAAAAATTTTGGTTTGCACCTCGGATGATGTGACATGGCAAGTTTTCAATTTAATTTGTATATTAATGTAATTAAATAGTCTTTTAATCAACAATTACTAGGGTTGTTTAAAAAAGGGACCATTCATTTAATTGCGTTATTGCAGGTTATCATTCAAAAACACGTGTGTATTTTAGTAAATATTTTAAAATTTTTATTTAAGGTTGAAAATCACTAACTCTTAATTAAAACATTACAACCAAATAACTTATTGATTTTAGTAACACATTTATGATTTCTACCTTATTTGTGCGCAGCATTAAATTACAAGGTATTTTTTAAATTTCGCTAAAAAAATCTTTTTATTGATACTCACTATAAGATTCCGAGCCAACTAAAATAGAAAATTAAAAATAAACGAAAAAAAATAGTTTTACATAGAATACCATTTTGTTCTCAATACTTACAGTTGGCGGCGATAAATTTATTGCTGAACTTCTTCTTTCTTGAGCTCCTATACTCGAATGCCTTCGAACTGGCAACCCACCACCTGGTGTTCCTCCTGGAGAAGAAGCACATGATGGAGCAACACGTATTTTTGGAGTTATTAGTGTATTATCTGAAAGCCTTCGATTTGGGAAAGCATTTGCTACACGTAAAAAGTTACTATCAGGCGATGATGGGGAATTACCAAACCACCAACCACCCAAAGTAGTTGAACCTATATTATTTTTCAAGATATATACAAATTATTAAAAGCTTGAAACTATTCCAAAAAGGAGTAATATTATTAAGTATAGGGTGACGCAGCACCATGTTTTAAGCCATATAAATATAGGGTAGACAGGCGAAAATGTCTTATATTTTTGAGAAAATTTGATAAAATTTTAACCTATGCGTTTTTGCTTATAACTTCTGTTCGAAAAAAAATAGAAGCTTCAAGAGTTTTTTTGACTTCAGATTCAAACTCAGAGACTTTGCCGTATAGAAAAAAAATTTTGTTTTCCCTTAAAAAAATTTCCTCATGGGCATTTGTGGTCAACTGTAGTAAAAATACTTTTCACGTACAAGTAAATTTTGGGTAAATTCTCTGAACAAAAATTAATAAAAACTGGATTAAGAAATCAGTTATTCATTGTCAATAAGGTCCAAAATATCATGCTACTAAAAAAATCATTCAAAAAAAAAGCAAAATGTTGGAATTCACCGCGATAACATTTGAATGTGTTGATGGCATATTCGCTGTCAATTTTTCATATTTGAAAAATTTAAGTATACAGAGTGATTCAGAAAGGTATACAACAACATATACCATTGGTTAGAGGGTCGACAATGGGTAAAACTTTTGTTCCGGATTAGGTGCGAAGTCCGGTTTTCGAGATACAGGGATTTTAACGAATTTACACGAAATTTCTAGTTATCTAAGCTTTTTTTATTATAACTTCCGCTCCGAAAAAGATGTCGACTTCAAACAAACAGTTTCTGAAAGCTCTAGTGAAGGGCTTAAAATAAACTTATACTTGATTATGTAATTTGGAATACCAATCATTCGAACTTTAGAAAAAATCTAATTTTCCCCTTTTTTTTAGTTTTTTAGTTTTTTCTAACCAGGTAAATTCGCTCGGAATTTTTTGAAACTTTGAATTTTTTTTCACAGAATTTTGGCCACTTTCTCGAATCTTAATTTTAGTCACTAAGTGTTGAGAAATCTTTTATGGTACAGAAGATATAGCACGAAAACTATTTCTATATCAAGATTTTAAGGACCCTAATAAAATCTAAAAATCCAAAAAAATTCATTATTTTTGATTTTTATTGACTTTAAAAGTTTTATTTATCATATACTATCAATTTTTCTTAGATGTTGTTGTATACCTTTCTGAATCATCCTGTATATACAAGTTGAGTCAGCAATTAGTTAGAACCGATCGAGGAGGCGGTCGAAAATGATTCAACTTTTGTTGGGAACATAGTTTTTAATGCTTTCATACAATTTATAATAAAATCACTGATTAATATTTAAAAAGCTTTTCAAGATCTTTTTAACAAGATCTTTTTTAACAGACTCAATATAATGTTCAAAATCATTTTTATCCTTACATATCGAACAAAACTTGTTCTACACAATAAGACATAAATTATTCCAAAAAAATTCTAAAACTTGAAACAATTTTATGCAAGGTATTTCGAAGCATGGTAAAAATTAACAGAGTATAATATATGTTAAACTCCAATTTTTACCTGTAGAATTTTTTCTTGCCATATCCTCGGCACTAGATGTTTTTCTTTGATCTATTCGCAAGTTTGGTATGTTAAACAATGGAACTTGCATATTGTCGGATGAAAATTGGTGCCTTAATGGTCGATGGCGCTCTGGTGACGGAATTGATAAATCATCCAATTTCAATTTGTTGCGTTGGTGTCTGTCAATATGGTCCAACATATCTTGCAGAACCTAAAATATTGTGTATGAATATTTAATATAATATTAAATGCTTAATAATCTTGTGATCTGATGCTGCTTTTGTGTTTTCTAATGTCATTGAAGCTGCACTTTTGAAAGCACATCAAATAAATCTAGGCTAAGAGGAACATTCCTTGGTGGAATAGAAAGTAAGGAAAATGAAAAAAGGGACAAAGCAACTTTTCAATTAGGACAAATTACCTCCAGACGAACTACTATGACACAGCAACATGTTTTAAGCTCTCTCTATTACAAGGGGGTTTAAGAAATTTAAGAAATAAGCTTGAGAGGTCTTCTGAGAAGAGATGGTGGAAGTTTCGACAGAGTGTGCTATTTAAGAATTATTCAAATGGCAACTTAATTGCACTGTTACCATTTATAGAACAGAATATAAGTATAGAATTTCAAATAATTTATACATATTATAATGAAAGAAAAATTAATTTTACAGTTATTTCGTTTTTCGAAATTAAACTAAATTATTAACGTGTAAGTGAATCATTATGTAGGTAATTTAAATATACATAATTAAGCCAAGTTTAAGAGAGTATGTTAATACTTAAGAAAGTATGTGAAAGTATTTTTCAATAATTTAAAAATGAAGTCAGGGGTATAGAACCTTTTGTGAGAAAGATCTCAACAGTATGTTGAAACGAACGATGAATTCTACGATGATACAGCGGAGGAAACTACCATGATGCTTTCGCGTGTTTTTTTCCAACTACAAGTTGGTAGAATCAGAATCCTAGGAGACATTGAGCTTCATTCAACAAAGGAATATGTATGGAGAAATAGGTCAGGAGTCTCTCAGGGACAATTTTTGATCAATGGAAAGGATACAGGATCTTTATAAGGTCACACAGCAGGGCTTTTTTCGGAGCCTTGTCGTCCATTATTCTACCATTCAGCGCCAGAACATGAACTACTTGTAAATTTTAGAAACGAAATAGTGGAAAACAATATTAAAAGTTATTAACTTTTAATGAATGATATAGTGAAAAACAAAATGTTTTTCGCCTATTTCATTCATTAAAAGTTAATAACTTGTAATTTTGGTACAGAAAAGCTTTATATATTAAAATATAATAGTGATAAAAGAGAGTATGCGACTCTGCATTTTGACTTATGTCGTTGTTCTCGCAAATGTGCGAATTACGTGAATTACAAATAATTATATTTACGTGACTTTCGCTGCTTAATCTACGAATAAAGTTTAAGTTAATTTTAATCTTGATTTTACCTGAAGTAGAAGCGTAAACTGTTCTAAATTTAAGGACGTATTTACTGTTTGCGGTATTAAAGATGGCATCACTCTTGTCGCCATAATGTTAACCGAAAGACCAAATTTCTTATCTGTAAGCATCACCCTATAAATATCTGGAAAAAATTAATAATATTAATATTCTATTCAAATTGAGTTCTTAAATTGATTAAATATTTTTTTAAAGAAAACTTAAAAAAAACCAACGAAAAACAGAAAAGAGTATATGATTGTGTATTTTATGAATCAATAATGGTGATATTTTTGGACATAAATCTTGTGATCATAAATGACATTGAAAAATAACATGATCTTTTAATAATGCTTAATTTTTATTTTAAAATTAATCTTGCTTGTGTCAAAACAAAAATGTTATCTTAAAAATATGAAACTGAAATATAATTACATGCTCCTTGCACAAACTATTTATGTACGCTACTATTCATGTACGCTAATTTCGTTTAAGCCAACGTATCATGTTTAGGAACTTTTCCTAAAAAAATCTTTCCTTCGAAAAGGAAAGCATCATTCCACATCTTTCAAATAATTCTTAAATACATTACAGTACTCTACCTAATTCTTTTTCTTCCATATCTCATTCCAGCACATCGAGAAACGAATTTGAATTATTTTGATTTTGATAACAATTGGGAAACAACTTGATTTCTTATTTAATATTTATAACATGATTTCTTCTTCATAATTTAGTGACAGAAATAACACAAATATATGATATTTGTGTAAAACATTTATGTATCCCCCCTTTTAAGTTTACAATATGTTATGAAAAGGCCTGAGCAAATTAGGCTGCTTATTTTAAAAGTACCGGCTTTTTTCTTATTTCCGGATATTTTAATATACGGAAGTATGAGTCTCAAATTCTAACAGTTTATAGATAAATTGATAAAAATTTAAATATTTTTCAAAAAACAAAACGTATGGGTTCTTTTTTCTTCCTAACGTTATTAACTGTTAAAGTTTGCAAAATGTAATTTCACGGCTCTCTATTTTTTCGGCAATACATAAATTTCATTGCACATTTGCAAAATAAGAATTTTATAATAATCGTTCCATTATTCAAAAGTACACGCTTATTTTCTGAGAGAATAAATAAATGAGAAATACAATTCAATTTAATATTAACGTCATTCAATATAATGTTAGCATCTGAGAATCAGACTTTTCAACTAGATAAATTAAACTTTGAACTTTTTAGAACTTACTGACTATAAGAATTACAATTTCCGCATCCGATAATTTTACGTCCCACAAAAGAGGAAGAACTTCATCAATTATCTAAAAATTACAAATTTTTAATAAATAGAAGAAAGAGATTATTAATTTTTCTCAAATGTTTGTACCTGTGTTTTGTCCAGTTTATCCAAAATTCTTTCTATGCATAATAAAACATTACTAACAATTTTTGCATCTGAATGATTTCGCTCATATACCAACTTAGTTTTCGGCAAAATAATTCTTTTTATAGATATGTCGTCAATGTATGTGTAAACATTTGCCACTGCAACAACAGCCGCACTCTTTAGTAAGAAAGAAAAAAATTTTTCAAGGAATTTATAATTTATCTGACATAAAAAACAGTGTAAAAGAAAATTTTTCAAAATACCTGTAAAGAGATAAATTAAAATATTTATTTTACAATTAAATTATTAATTTCTTATGAATTAATTTGGCATTAACAAATCCGTAGGATTAAGAAATCCGTAGACCCAAAAAATTTAAAAAGCCGAAAAAATATAAATTATAATGAGATAAAAAATTATAACACTTTTTTAGCAAAAACTTTGCCTAACCTAAACTGGCATAAAATTTGCTAGTATGTTAAAATTTCGCCAAATTTTCTTAAAATCTCTGTAGCTCGGAAACGGATCCGATTTAACACTATGTTCCGAACAAAAATGTTCGGAAAATTCTTCAAATTTGATATTTGAGTTCTGGTTCTTACCGAAACTAATTGGTGAAGTTTTCAGATAATTCGGGTAGCGCAAAGCGAAATTCTTCTAAGACCCAAATAGCACATTTCTAGATGTGTTAATTAAAAGCTTATTAATGTCCTTATAATTGTAAGGAAGTATTTAAAATGCATTTTCATAATCTTCTGCAACAATTACATTAAGCTAAACAATATACAGCTATGGTCAAAATAATAGAAACACCTAATATTTTTATTCATAACAATCCCAAATCATTATATTGCCGCCACCATGTTTTACGGTTTTGCGCGTGAACCTGGGGTTTAATTCAGTATTTGGTAGACGTCTAACGAAGGTAGGAACATCTGGCCCAAATAAAATAATTTTTGTTTCGTCCGAACCAAGGAATTTGCGCCACTTTTTTACACCCTCTGGCCCACTGCACTCCGAATGAGTTTTAGCAAAAGTTTTTCTATGTTTAATATTGTTTTTGCTGACATAGGGAACTTTTAAATAAATTATTTTTGTTCAATATTCTGAGTATGGTTCTACCACTCACATTAGCCTGACATTCTTTTAAAATTGCTTTTGAAGATTTCAATGGGTCTTTTTTACATATCATTACAATTTTTCTGTTCAGCTTTTCACTTGTTTATTGCTTTCTTCCTCGTGTTTCAGGACTTTTATTATTTTTTAAAGCGTTAAAAACTAAATGTACTGAACGTTCAATAATTGTGGCAATTTCTTTTACACTTTTTGCTTGGTGTCTTAAGTTTTTAATTATTTATTTTTCCTTAACAATACAATGATTCGATTGATCCATAATTCTGCAATATTTTTCCAATTTTTCAAAAAATTAAATTATTTGATTATTATAATTTAAATATTGTTCAATATTTGCTTAAATAATTTGAAAAAAAGTAGTTTTATTCATCAATAAAGCTACATTCGTCGGGTGTTTCTATTATTTCGACCAGATAAAATACGGTATTTTTACGTTCAAATGGTGAATTCCCGCAGATTACAGTTTTTTAGTGACAATAAATATATTCACAATAGAACATAATATAGCAAAATAATTTTGCAAAAGGTGGCATTTAATTCGAACATAATTTACAAAAGATATAAAAGAAATTAAAAACGTATATTAAGTGTTTCTACTATTTTGACCATAGCTGTACATTGTGGCCGGTTATATTCTGATCCTTTCAGATTTTTTTATACTGTATTCAGTGCTGTCGTTTTATAATTTCGTGTTGCAGTGAAGAGGATGTTGAAATTGCAGCAGATTCGATTGTACTGCAGTAAATTTTTTTGTAATATATGGATCCGTCAAAACGACACCGTTTAAATATGTGGCAATTATAACAACAAAGTATTAATATAAAATTATAATTTATCAATAAAATTATTATATTCATTGATGATTATGATAAAAGTATGGTAATATTTAAATATAACTTGATCTGTTGATCTTTTCAATGTCGAAAAGTTATATTTGGTGATCAAAAACTTTTTTAGTTTAGTTGTCATTTATTTTTTTAATGTTCGTCTGTCCGTCCGTGGACACGTTTACAAAACTTCTACACCCTTGAAGGTGGAAAGCTGAAACTTTAAATATACATAGATTTTTACTAGATCTCCAAAGAAGAAAATTTTTAGTCTCGCCCAAAATAGGGGCTGGCTTCTTCTACCGCGGCATACCCAACTTGAACTTTGAAAAAACGTATCTAAAGTACGTTTTTTCTACTTGATGTCGTTTTTTTTTAGACCCTAGGTTGTATAAATCTGAAATTTTAACTAAATATTAACATTAGTAGGTACTTGATTAAATTATATTTGGAACAGGCAATAAAATAAAATTTAAAGTTCTTTCAAATTAAAGACACTTCGGTGGAGTAGAACTCCTTTTTTTTAATGTTTGTATCCATTTGTCCCTGATGACTTCGTTCTTTGGCAAAGTAAATGAAAGTATGGCATTCACGTTCTTATTTTCTCGTAGACTATTGCGTCTGCATCCTTCGACGTTTATAAATACTATTATATTATATTTAAATATGATTACAATAGAAACATTAATAAAGTTGAGTCAAACCAATGGTTTGTATTGTAGCACTTTTCCCTTCAACAAGTGAAAATACTGCTTTTAAATACATCTATGTACCCACCACCCTATTAAAACTACTTTCATTCATAAACGAAACTATTTTTAGGATTGCATATATTTAGGATGAACGATTTATGGAGTCTTTGAAATAAAGCAAAAATTGATATAAAGTGGGGTTAACATAATGCTCGAATTTAAGGGTTAATTGTGTGAGTTAAGAAAAATAATTCTATTTTTTAATGTCATGGAACTTACCGTTAGCTTTTTGCGTTTATAGAAATTTGAAAAAGCTTGCGGTTTCGGAAATATAAGGTGTCAAAAATTCAAATTTTACAAATTTCAAGAGGCGATAACTTGAAAGGGGGTGGAGATAGAAAAAATTTTTTTCTAACGAAATTAACTGTTTATTAATGTCTAAAAGCCCCTAAAATTTCAACCTTCTACAGGCTGGGGTCTAGAAGAAAAACGACATAAAAAATTTGGAAAAAAAAGGACTTTAGATAACGGTAAATTTGAACGGCCATTTTGTTTTTCTAAAGTTTAACTATAGTATACCGCGCTAGGGGAAGCAAGCCGCTGTGTGCAAAATTTCAAAAATGCTTATGGTTTCATTGCAACAAATATTTAAAAAAGCCCATTTTTAGGGTTTTGGGGGAGTATAACTTCTAGAGAAGGGGAGATAGGTAAAAATTTTGTCCTACGGAAATAAGTTTCTAGTAAAAATCTATGTACGTATTAAATTCCCGATTTCTATCTTCAAGGCTGTAGAAGTTTTGCAAACAAAAAAAGTGTCCACGGACGGACAGAGTGAAACTAATAAGCACTTTTTTTCAAAAAAATTTTTGAAAAAGTGTTAAAAAGTAAATTTTTAACACTTTAAACCTTTAAATTTATATTTAATAATTTAACAAATTTAGTTGCTGCTATTCTTTTATGAGTGCACTTAATTTTCTTCTTCAATGTAAACAAATTATTTTCTTCTTCCATTTGTTAGACAGTAATTTCCAAAGTACTTCACGTTGTCACTTAAGCCCACTTTTCTTGTTTCAGTTCCATGATTATTTCTTCTCGTGTTTAGTCATATTTGGCCCATTTTTTATTTAATTTTAATTTTCCTTTCAAGTTAACTAAAAAAAAACATGTTTTTACAGCTTTGTAGTTTTTAAACTTTCATAACCCATCAGAACTTCGATGAGCCGAGTTAAACCATGTTGATAATCAGCTGGGCTGGAGGCCCAAATAAATATCCAGTCGCGAACGGAGTATCCGGATATCTGGCGCCATCCGGGTTATTTAGTCTTATTTAAAAACAGTAGTTCCCTGCCTAGATGGAACTCTAAAATTCGTTGGACTAGGTATGGAGAAGTTTATTAGAACAGAGCCGTGGCAGCTCAGTAAGCAGTCGAACATAATGAAGAATGTAGAACGGCAAGGTCTCTCATAAAAATTGAAGGGAAACTGAGAGCCAACTTATCGAAAATTTACTTCTCCAGTCTGTCAACATCAAACTGAAGGCTTGGAGATTAACACAAGCAGTCATGTCGGGAATACTGCAGAAAAAACTCTATGACTCCAAAACAGCGTGGTAAGAGCACAAAACGTGGAAAGGTAAGATCATGTATGTTCATTAATAGGAACATCAATTTTTTTTATAACCGCCCCTTTAAAATAAGGAAAATTTGACAGTAACTAACCTGTAGGAAGTCTTAGTAGGCATCAGATCTAAAACGCATCTGGATGTTCATAACTTCTTGCAAAAACTGTCGTCAGCCCTATGTATGATGAAGAATTTTAATCGAACCAAAAATACAACAGGATGTTTATAACTTCCTACAAATAGTCAAATTGACTGACCAGCTTTGGTTTATCGTGATTTTCTGTTCACATTCTGTAGAGAAAGGTGGTACTTCAGCACATTTCAAACCACTACCAACTTCTCTAAACATCAGTTTGGAGAAGTTAAGTCCTCGTCGACGGTCGTGGTTCCTGTGAATTTTTTGTTAAATATCCGCTTATATTACATAAATATATTCATACTATTGTGATGAATATTTGCATATATTCTTATTAGCATTACACATATTTTAGTATTTACATATATTTTTATTATTGTCAAATCAAGCTTTAGAACTGGGATCAGACATAGACCAAAAAGGCGTTCATTCAGTACCAGTAATGCTTGGATTTTCTTCGGATTTTAGTAGAATCGTATTACAAATAAGCCGACTGTGGGCCAACCCGGGAAAAATTGCAAGTTTTTTTACGATATTTTCTACAATACACCATATGACTACTACACCACATGCTCCACTTGTCTCTCCCTCTAATAGAGACTGAGTACTACTATCAGAATACACATATTAATTGCGTAATCAACCTTCAGTATATAAATATACATAAGTAGTGTGGTACTAATATGAATCCATGCATTGAATATTATCGGTTTTATCGTTTCATTCCGATATGAAATAGTGACAATAGTCATATTATCTTTTCAGTC